GTTAGGTACCACCGCCCAGCCTATTTCTACCGTGAAGCAGTAACGCGTTTCGGCTTAAAGAGCGGGGCAGGCGTTGTAACTACTGAGACCTTAGAACTGATATTTCATGTTGGGTGGCGCATTTACGTTGTAGTTGTCTATAGGCTTCAGTAACCACTTAACACCAGGTGGGCTGTGAGCTCGGCCATCCATCTAAGCAATAAAAAAAAACTGTGTATAGCTCAATTAACGACTAAACAACCGCTGGTCCGTGAGCTCGTCTAATCATTAAGCTCATCAAACAAAAGCACAGCGTGATTTGACATTAAATTCCATACGCGAATGATCATATTTTGTTTTCACTACATAGTATAAAACAAAGTCGCTTTCTTTGTCCCTATATCGCTTTGTATGCTTGAATCTTTAAAAGTACGCAACGGATTTTGATGTGGTTTGTTTTAATAGATAGAGTGATTGAAGAGGAAGGTTTATATGTATAATAACATTCATTAAGTAGTGGAGAAATCAATAATAAATTACAGTTTCCGAAGCGAAGCGAGGGCGGATCGTTAGTTGTTTTATAAATCACTAGAGGTCCCGCAGTAGTCGAAATTCGACTATAATTAATTGGAATTGTAAGTTTGTACACTATTATGATTATATTTTCAACGCCAAGGCTAACCTATAAAAATATTAATAAAGACAAACAATATTTAATCTATTCTCAATTTGACCACAGACGTCAAGAACAAAAGTTTGACAATAAATAAATAGTATGCATGCGTGTGTGTGTCAAATACATGGTAGTGTGTGTAATGTTTTCTCTATTGATTTAATGTATCTTTTACGTATTATTTAAAAAAAAATATTAGCATTGTGCACTTCTTCTCTATATTCTCTATAAGTGTGGAAAATTTCATACTCCTCCGTCCGCGCAATTTTCGTAAAAAGGGATACAAAGTTTTTACTTCACGTATTAATATATAGATTCAAAACTGCACTGCATCACTCGAAACATAATCTAAGAACATTTTCTCGCTGCTACTGTTACAGAAAATGACTTGGTTCTCAGGAAAATTCGAGAACACGTCATAGCTAGTTTACAGGTCGTTGTTCCGGCGTTGCACGCGACCGACCCTTATTACAAAGCGAAAAAAAAAGAAGAAAAGAATAAGGTAGAACAACGTGCTTGGAAATAGAAAGCAATTTTCATTGTACCGCGGCGTCCTTTGGAAACGAATGCAGTGTCGAGACTGTAATAAGAACCGAGTGAGGCGAACTTCGAAATGGTATACCATTATAATTGAATATGCAATTTCGAAAAGGGCACATGTCACATATTTTGTCAATTTTTTTTTGATTTTTAAATTTTTTTTTATTGCTTAGATGGGTGGACGAGCTCACAGCCCACCTGGTGTTAAGTGGTTACTGGAGCCCATAGACATCCACAACGTAAATGCGCCACCCATCTTGAGATATAAGTTCTAAGGTCTCAAGTATAGTTAAATACTTTTTTTCATATACATTTAGTTTTGAGGTTTACCTACACCCATTTTATAATAATTCCAGTAATTTTCAATTGCTAATTAACACTAAAATATATCTCAAAAGTTAATATTTTAAATTTTATACTGCTCTAGAAAATAGTCAGTTTTTTTTTTATTTCCTGAACATTTTACATTTTCAGAGATGTGCCCTTTTCGAAATTGCATATTCAATTAGGTTCTATATTTTATCGATTGCAACTTCGAAAAATATCATATTCAAGACTTCCTCACTATGATAACAAACCACACTAATATGGTAAAATATAAATCATTTTTACTAGTGGTAGCACCTCTTGTGAGTCCGCGCGGGTAGGTACCACCACCCTGTCTATTTCTGCCGTGAAGCACTAATGCGTTTCGGTTTGAAGGGTGGGGCAGCCGTTGTAACTAGCTATACTGAGACCTTAGAACTTGTATCTCAAGGTGGGTGGGGCATTTACGTCGTAGATGTCTATGGGCTCCAGTAACCACTTTACACGAGGTGGGCTATAACCTCGTCCTCCCAACTAAGCAATATTTTTTTTTTATAAAGAACGATTATGTTCACTATTACTCTGTATTCTCATAGTCAATGTGCAATGCTTTATTGAAAATAATTTTAAATCTTTTAGTAATTATTTTTCAAATAACCATCTTTACCTTCACCGATCTCTTTTTTACAATTAGACCTTCAATGAAATTAATTTGGTAAATGCATTTGTTTAGCGATAATAAAGTTGCTTAGGACCATAGTATATATGTAACTATATGCATCGTCGTTGTCAAACCAAAATCTGCTATGTGCACTTTTGGAGATTTTTACTTTTTGCCCTTTTCGTATAGTTTCATTTGAAATAGTTTTTAAAAATTCACCTACTTACAAATTTTTTTTACGAAAATGTTTTTACTCGTTAATTCAAAATAGAGTTTTTGCACATAGATTTTGGTTTGACAGCGACGACATGTTTCTGTTCTGAAATAGGTCTCGCTTTAAAAAAAATGTAATAGAAATAATGGATTTTAAAACGTTTTTAGGTTGTAAAAAAATATATGTGTAGCATGCCTTAACCCCTCTATTTATTCGTAGCTTAACCCTAATAAATTTTCATTAAAATAGAGAGAGAAAGAGAGAGAGAGAGAGAGAGAGAGAATAAACAGTGCGATACATTTAACACAAAAAAGTACAATTGGTGATCTTATCGCTTACTTAAGTACTTACCTTAATACATTTCATTTTTGAATTTTATTTGATACTTTTTTTTGAGATTTCGCTTTGACTATGTTCATTGGATTGGTAATTTGATCATCTTTCCGTGCAATGCAAATATTTTCATTAACTTAGACCTACTTTCTACTTTTAAATTCACCGCTCAAAGAATAATTAATGTCCTCATACAACTTGTGCATTGTACCACGCGCCATCTTTTGTAATATATATGTTTATTTATTATTCATAGTTATGAAACCACTTCAAAATTATAACGAAGAAAAATATGAGATTTCTCAGTGGCATTATTACCCTGTACGTTTTATTTTTTTTATTTTTGTTGCCCTTGTAGGTAGACAACCATTCCACCCACCCACCTGATGGTGAGTGATTATCATCCTCCACGGACTTCAGCAATGGCAGGGGCAGAGCCAAGTCGATCTTCCATATCACCCCCGAAATAAGAAAGAGATGGACCTATGAATACACATTGTGATCCCTCGTCAATCAGTCAAAAGACTGCTCAATAATATATCTGTCACATTCGACCAATACGATGTCAGCCTCCAGAATCGAGCTATAAGGAACGTCTCGAAGTACGATAATAGCCGTACTTAGTCGAGTAACGTGATCCCAATCTGCTGAACGAGACAGACAAGCAAAAAAGAACCTTAACGCTAAAGATTTACGATTTAAACGACAAACGAAGCTGTAATTCGATATACAATAGAATTTAAATTGTTCCGTAAGATTATTCGTGTTCAATTCTCATTTATTAAAATACAAATAATAAACTTTGTTTTCTGCGAATCTTCGTAATCGCTACACTAGAGAATGACCGGCTTGAAGCAATTTCCAGTGGCGTGTTTCTTGCAACGGCTTTTGCCTTCGTGAATCGTTCGCCGGGTTTTATTGTGGGAATTCATAATGTGTTTTTTTTTTCAAGTATAATTTAATAGCCGTTTCAACTCGCTCCAATTAAGCTTAGTGCCTATTGTTTCGAGTTTTTTTTTTGTGTGTACAATGCTTTACACTTGATTTCGGATAAACGATGTTTATCGTAAATACCTGCCTTTATTTCAAGGACTTTTGAATATTAAATTAAGCGGAATCAAAGTTAAAGTACAAAAAAATGTTTACTCTAAAAGTTAGCTTACTGTAAGAAATTGAGCTATAATTAAAACATTTAAGTTTGTAGTTATAAAATAACTCTTTAATTAATTATATCTTCGATCATAGTTCGTTTATCGTCCCAAAATTTGAATCTTCAACAGATTCTTCAAAAGTATAATAGGCGTACAGAGTTTTTTTTAAAACTCAAATAGCCACAGATTGGTTTCGAACATACTGCATTACCAATAACTATACGATTAGCAAATTTACAAATGTCTACATTATATTAAATGTTTACATAATAAAATTAAGATGGCACCATTGTCATCAATTTACCGATATAAGACTTTTACCTTGCTACTACTTTTACAGGAAGAGATAGACCTAAGAAAAACTTATGAAGTCGTCGTGGCCTAACGGATAAGACGTCCAGTGCATTCGTATTGAGCGATGCACCGATGTTCGAATCTCAGGCGGGTACCAATTTTTCTAATGAAATACGTACTCATCAAATGTTCACGATTGATTTCCACGGTGAAGGAATAACATCCTGTAATAAAAATGAAACCCGCAAAATTATAATTTGCGTAATTACTGGTGGTAGGACCTCTTGTGAGTCCGCGCGCGCGGGTACCACCACCCTGCCTATTTCTGCCGTGAAGCAGTAATGCGTTTCGGTCTGAAGGGTGGGGCAGCCGTTGTAACTATACGTGAGACCTTAGAACTTATATCTCAAGGTGGGTGGCGCATTTACGTTGTGGATGTCTATGGGCTCCAGTAACCACTTCACACCAGGTGGGCTGTGAGCTCGTCCACCCATCTAAGCAATAAATAAAAAAACTGGATGTATTGCGTGAAAGACGTTTTTTTTTTTATTGCCCTTGTAAGCAGACGAGCATACGGCCCACCTGATGGTGAGTGGCTACCGTCGCCCATGGACTTCAGCAATGTCAGGGGCAGAGCCAAGCCGCTGCCTACCGCTAAATTAGGAAAGAGTCAGCGAAGAAATGGTATATGATAGAGGAGTATGGAAAGAGAAGACAAATGCGCCGACCCCAGGTGACTGGAAGAAGGGCCGGAAAATGATGATGATGATGAAGACTTTGCCATGCAAACAATTTAGGAAACCACTAAACAAATTAATCTTTCACTAAATGAACTCGAATTTAACTCACCTGTAAATAGGAACATCGTCTTTATACCAAACGACTAGTAAGAGCACATCGGCTGGCTGCGGCGAGCGGGTGTCGCACGGGAGGGTCGCGTCGCCGCCAGACACAGCTGACACTTTAACCATGTCTAGAGACTCGGCTGTGACACTCGAAGCGGGTGTCAGACCTGTTAACAGTTAAACAAAAATAGTATAGTAATATATTTCAGCATTACTTCCGCTTACCTTAATATCAAGAAAATCAATGATTTTTAAATGAAAAGTGGTTTTGGTTTTGAAAATTATTTTCGTGTTTGGTTTCTGAAATTCGGAATATTAGGAGAGAGAGAATAGTTAAATTGCGACAACGTTTATTACTGTTTCAATTAAAGTAGAAAAATCACTATATAGCTAGTTAACAAATCATGAAATTAGAAAAAAAATCCTAATCCCAAAATGAGGATCACGATCATTCAAGAAAAGAATATTCACGAGTCGATTTCCCTTCGAAATCGTTCGCGAAATTCCGAATTGTTCGCTGTGAACGCGAGGCGAGATCGTGACAAATGGCTCGATTAACAATCCCCAGTCTACGAAGGAGATGGTGCGACTAACGATGCAATATATCAAAGGATTTTTCGCAATGCTGACGAAACTCTGCCCCGTTTCCTTNTCACGATCATTCAAGAAAAGAATATTCACGAGTCGATTTCCCTTCGAAATCGTTCGCGAAATTCCGAATTGTTCGCTGTGAACGCGAGGCGAGATCGTGACAAATGGCTCGATTAACAATCCCCAGTCTACGAAGGAGATGGTGCGACTAACGATGCAATATATCAAAGGATTTTTCGCAATGCTGACGAAACTCTGCCCCGTTTCCTTGTTAAGAATCGATGCGATAATTGTATTGTTTCGAATGATCGATTCAAGATGGCGACCCACTGTCTTCTCGAGTTTCATTCGTAAATAAAGCGTAGCTACTCTTGTAGTAGTATCGAAAGTAGAGTATACTTTTTGATGTAGCATTTTTTTTATTCTTTTATTGCTTTTTTTATTGCTTAGATGGGTGGACAATAGACATCTACGACGTAAATGCGCCACTAGGATCCAGTAGCCACTTAACACCAGGTGGGCTGTGAGCTCGTCCACCCAACTAAGCAATAAAAAATAAATAGATACGTATTCTCTCTAACAAGCTGCAGAGAACAACAGCTTCTCAATATGTTACGTATCTATATATTAATACGTGAAGCAAAAACTTTGTATCCCTTTTTACGAAAATTGCGTGGACGGAGGAGTATGAAATTTTCCACACTTATAGAGAATATAGAGAAGAAGTGCACAATGCTAATATTTTTTTTAAATAATGCATAAAAGATACATTAAATCAATAAAGAAAACATGACACACACTACATATCATGTATTTGACGCACACACCCATGCATACTATTTATTGTCAAACTTTTGTTCTTGACGTCTGTTGAAATTGAGAATAGATTAAATATAGTTTGTCTTTGTTAATATTTTTTATAGTATAGTCTTGGCGAAATATGTTATTATAGAAGTATAAAATACAATCATAATAGTGTACAAACATACAATTCCAATTAATTATAGTCGAATCTCGACTACTGCGGGACCTCTAGTAATAATATGATTCGCGAAAATGCACAATATAACGACTGAAATTACATGACGTAATATAAATGCAGCTCAATTAATAAGGCGATAAAATTTGATTTATTGTTAATGTGAGTCTTTCAATTAATCCGAATTGCATTTAAAGTAAGGCTGCATAACGAAAACTGAATTTTACTAAATTTAAAACATATTATGAACCTCAAACCACACGAGTAGGTATCACCTTCACGTTGTTATTTCTATAGATTACGTCAACCAGTTCATATGGAGTAGCCGGAGAGACAGGTTTTGTATCTAGAGCAAAAAAAATATGGAATAATTCAGATTGATTCTAGGTGGCTAATTAAGAGTATTGTTTGCTAAATCGACCTAAGCGCATTTTGACGCAGGAGGATAATTTTTAGAACTTAAATTTCATTATGATATGACAGCAGATGTAAGCAGGATAATAATAACCTTATAGCGATTTAATCAAACAAATTCTACATAATTACGAGTAATCTCACGTACAACATTTAATTCAAGACATTACATTAGGACCAAAATCAACAAACAAAACCATCCTAATTCCAAAACGTCAAAACAATCATTAATCCAATTAATAATTTTAGTACATGTGTTTGCTCATTCAGAACTCCAGTCTCCCGGGAATGTGTACCCAATTCTAGTTGTTATTAACATGTCATAACGACAGCAACCTTAATACGCAGTATTAACCTAGTTTTGCTTATAATCTAGATATGTGAAAGCTTTCTGGTGTATGTCGGATATGAATGGTAAAATTTTCCAAGGTTTCCACGAATTTCACATTGAAAACAATGGAATTGAAAATAACTGCTGCGGAATTAATCAGTTTGAACCTGTTGTATACGCTGAGTACTTATTGGTATAGGAATAATACACAAATAACGTCAGAATAATCTCTGCGGGATTTTATAATAATGATGGACAAAATTATTTTATGTTATTATGAGCCGGATTCACGTTGTGATTGCATCGATAGCTACTTTTCACCGTAAGGGTTATGAGTTTTTTGTCTCTCGATCTATATCAATTAATGAAAAACATATGTGGGTGGAATTTAGTGTTCAAGAACGAATTATAGAATACTCGGCCAAGTCGGGGCTCAAATGTCCGTATATCCTGGTTGGTAGCTCTATGAAAAGTCTCTCTGAACAAAGAATATATTCTTATATACCTCTTAATATGTTTCGATGTATTTCTCGCATAACCGCTACCGAAGATTTTATATCCGCCCAACTTTTAGATCCGCCAAGACTTTCCGGCGGCATCTTACATTTAAATACATGTCAGCATGTGGCTGGATATATATTATGTTAGCGCAAAATTTCATGCATTAATGCTTTCTGCATTTCAAATATTTTATAAAAATAATACATGACAAAATAGGTTAAGGTGTCTTTTAGTTTGATAAATTATGACAAGAAACCCGCAGTAAATCGATAAAAAGAGGCTAAAGCTCTATCTTCAAATCTATTTCTCTAATCTTATAAGTAACGCATATCAGGAGAGGCGTACATCCTTTGATAAAAGCTCATTCTTGGTACAATAGTTTGGACCAATTCATATAGATTGGTTGATATAGGTAGAAAACGGTAGAATCTGGGGATGTATCTTGATGTTCTACGAGCATTTGTGATAGTCGGTGAGTGATATTAAGTTATATTTAGTCTCTACGTCTAATCTAAATCAAAGAAAAACATTAAATGGAAAGTTATGAAATATAAAATTGTCAGTGTTCAATCACTCCATGAATATAGTAAATGAAAATGATTTTCCGTTTGATTAAAATCTGTAAACAATTACTTAGATCTTCTCTTTATTACGCAAAGAGTATTTATCAGCTCTCAAAATAAGAGATATAAATACTTGCTAGATAAATGCATACATACGAACTTATAATCTTACTCTCCTTGGGTTTTTTCCATATTGAAGCTGATGACTGAAATGACTGAAAAAATGTGTAATATTGTGTATTAATTGGCTATGGCTTGTATCTTAAAGAACGCCGGTATATTTGCGCATTGTAACAACGCTTGCCTCCAAAAGTAATAAAATAGTTTACGTAGCGACCACTTCGAACTGGCGTTTCCCTAAACAACTAATAAAACGTTCTTCTAAAACATTTTCACATAGTTTCTCAGTTGTAAAACAGCATGTGACCAGCTTTCATTGAAGTGCTCGACAGTACGTGACTGCGCTACGGTACGGTCGTGCACGAAATTTGCGAGGGGCGCGTGCACTAAGAATCGTGACGCGACGGATATAAAAGTAATATTCGTTATATTTTTTCTTTCTGAATCCAGAACTAGGTCGATCATTTCTAGAAAAAAGAAACTAACTTCTGAAAACAAGATTATAATATATATATATATATATATTTTTTTATTGCTTAGATGGGTGGACGAGCTCACAGCCCACCTGGTGTTAAGTAGTTAGTGGAGCCCATAGACATCTACAACGTAAATGCGCCACCCACCTTGAACGAGGCTTACGGAGAGTACTTTATGGTAGGCAGCGGCTTGGTTCTGCCCCTGGCATTGCTGACGTCCATGAGTGACGGTGACCACTTACCATCAGGTGGGCCGTATGCTCGTCTGCCTGCAAAGGCAATAAAAAAAAAAAGACAAGTTTTAAGGTCTCAGTATAGTTACAACGGCTGCCCCGCCCTTCAAACCGAAACGCATCACTGGTTCACGACAGAAATAGGCTGGGCGGTGGTACCTACCCGTACGGACTCACAAGAGGTCCTACCACCAGTAAAAGTTTACATTTATGGATGTAGATATGGATGTAAATGTGTTTTATTTGACCTAATGGAACCTACAGTCGCACATGAATTGTGCTGAACCACAAACTCAACAAAGGCATTGTTTACCATTAAAGCTCTCTTCTTACCTCGGTTTAAATTACTTTCTGGCAGCCCACGGGAAACATCGAGGAAGGTAGTTCATTATACTGCAGGATTAAACGTAACGAAAATGATCTCTTGAAACGTAATATAGTTGAGCGCAGCGATTCCAGTTAATAGGGTTGAGCTTACTGCTCACTAGCATGTGATGTAGAGAGGGGATGACGGAATTTGATCAAATTTTAATTCGAAATCGGTAATCGAAATACTTTATTTGAGATTAATTTTTATCTAATGTTTATTTTACTAAATATACCAAAAATGGTATTCCTGTGAACGACAAGAGTATTGAGCTGGCAATTTGATTTTTTTTTGTGGCTTAGATGGGTGGACGAACTCACAGCCGACCTTGTGTTAAGTGGTTGCTGGAGCCCATAGACATCTACAACGTAAATGCACCACCCACCTTGAGATATAAGTTCTAAGGTCTCAAGTATAGTTACAACGGCTGTCCTACCCTTCAAACCGGAACGCATTACTGCTTCACGGCAGAAATAGGCAGGGTGGTGGTACCTACCCGTGTGGACTCACAAGAGGTCCTACCACCAGTAATCAGTAATCAGCTGTTATGAGCTATGCTTCATTTACCATTTAATGAGCTGCGGCCGGTTGA